AGGAATTCTGCAGCAAAACACAGCTCAGAAAGTCTACAGCTGGAAATTATTTGTGAATAGTCAGTGTGGCATTATTGAATTGGTTACTATATTTTCAGAGTATTCAGCAGTGACTTTACTCGGATTGGTTAAATACGAATATGGCCACAAAGCAAGTTGTAAACTAGTCTGTGACAATTTTACACAGGGTTGTTAAAGTAGAAGAAGATAAAGAGACTATAAGTAAGAGTGGGAGTGTAAATAAATAAAGGAAACTTTATAGTTGAAATAAATTAATATCTGTGGCATGCAAAGTCACTCTGGAACAAGATCCTTTTAGGCGAATCATTGAAGTACTGGCACGGTTCCACAGAGCAAATATTTTAAATTAGTACAGAGAACTCTGCTGCCCTCTGCTGGGCAAGACATGCGAAAGACATACTGGATTAAGAAAAAAGGTACAAAGAAATACGTTTTAAAGACAATATTTATATTATTTTGTGGTATTTATACATTTTCTTTGGCACGTTGGACCGAAATAATAAGACTGGAATTAGCTTGATTCGATTAAGTTCGATAACATTAGATAAGCAGCGGCAAAATGGACAGGTCAAATAAGTCATGCTTTTACTGTAACACTAAAATGAATGACTAATTAAAATAGACTAAACAGCAAGACAGAATAAATTAAAATACATTTTCAAATAAAATATGTGTGATTGATGTTAAATGCCATGAAACAAAATGCTGGAAATGAAGGACAGGTCATTGCATTACATTACATCAGGAGTTAAAAATGTTCATTTTTAATTATGCATTCACACAATAGGAATGCAAGCAATTAAACTTTAATAATTAAATGTTTTTCTAAAAAGTTAAAGGAGGCAGTCAACCAAAAGGGCTTTCCCTTGTCTACTCCTATTAAAACAGTACTCGACATTCTGTTCAGTGCATCAGCAGCTTTGATCCACAGTATTTCATCAACCACCTCTGATGCACAGGAAGCTGTTGCTTTTCAAAATGCATAAAGTCACCTGATCTCTGCTGGCATCAGCAATTTCTCCTCAATTTTCCCACAGTGACAGAGGGGCTTTACTTTGGTTGGCTGCTTCACTAGAACAGAATATCAAACACTCCTGTGCTACTGCTGCATAATTCAAACGGCAAACCTTTATAATTCAGGAGTAATGCTTTTTTCCGCTCTCTGTGATCTGGACTACTTATGAGATTACAGTGAAAATGGTAAACTGGCAAATGACCAAGATTACATCATGACTATTAGATCAAGTCCATGTCCATGATCTCTCAGCGTGAAGGAAAGACTGAGCGACAACAGACTTTATTTTAAACTACCTCCACAGTAAACGTCTTTAAATGTATTTTCCATTTAGTAAAATATGGACATAACATACTGATTTTAATAAGGTTTATGCTTTTATTTTGTTAGGGTTTCGCGCCTGCGTCCGACTTCCTGTCTGTCAACTTGTTTGAACTGCTCGTACTTTAGCAAAAGCTAATTTGGAAGTGAATGTTTTAAACTGTACGGATTTTTTATGTTACTCATTAAGGATCCGTTAATGTTAAATTAATTTTTTTAAAAAGCTTCAACGGGTAATAAATTAAACGATCTGCTTCAAACCGACAACCGTATTTCACATGGGACGATACCGTACAAACACACCTGCAGTCCTTCATTACAGAAGCAATCGTCGTCAATTTCGCACAAAACCCAAAGAAATTACCACCGTTTACAACGTTAAGCTTTCTTGTTACTACTACATTCATAAACACAGCATAAAACATTTATTTTAAGTATAAATAGCTTACTTTTTACTTTTCATGCGTGACGTTTCAGCAGCGGCTCGGAGTCTACTAATTAGTGGGCGGGGCTTGGTGACGTGAGGGGCATTCACTGAACAACAACAAAATTGTTGACCGTTGAACTGAAACGATGTATTGCAAATCGCAGCTACTTCACAAATAAATATTATATAAACTAAAAGTAAAGATATACTAAAAGATTTAGCTACAACAAGCCAAATAGGGACATTAGTTCTAGGCTAATTTTAAGTAATATCTTAAATATAGTTATTAAATGGCAGCTTAAAAAAAACCTTAACCAATATGTTTAAAACTATCGCTTGGATAAGTGGGTGAGTCAGTGAGTCTAAAGATAACCATAATAGCCAAATAAAAATAAAATATTATTATGGTAATCAAAAAAAAAAACGTTTACATAAATATTAACCATATGCTTTCGAAACAGTGCCAGCCATCTTTAATAAATCTGAACAAACATCCTCCCAAAAAAGAGTATCAACAGATCTAACAACCGTGGTAAAGACATTTTACAAAGAGCAGCTGTTTTACTTTGCTGACCTCATTCTAGGAGAGAATACATTTCCTAACATGGTCATGACGGTCCACTTTGAAGGTCCACGTTTCATTTGCTATCTTACACGCTGTGTGTTTTATTTTCTTGCCACAAGATGGCAAAATAACCGTCTCAACAGGTCAATCATTGCATTGCCAAACAGTGCATGGCATTAAATCATCCTAACAACTCCTGCAGTTTATTATCTAAACACCTCCATCAGTTAATTGAACTGAAAAAAAAAAAAAAAATTCTTTCCCTTTAGCTTCTCTCTTTAGTCTCCTCCCTGTCCTCGGCACTTTTCACAGCACATGGAGGAATTAGACGGATGATGCTTTTGGATCTTCTAAGACGCTGTGTAAAGTACCATGTTTCAGGTACACTAATGCATCTTGTGTAATCTGCCTTGCATCTTGCGTGTGTCTTTCTTTCTGCTCCATCTCCAACTCCCTCTCCAAGGCTATAATTTAATCACATTTTGAGCAGCAACAAACAGCACACTAAGAGCAGCAAAGTGTTCCTACCTTTTATACCTTATCCCTGGATTATTTTCTACACTATCCTGTCATATTTTAGGGTTGGAAACCTGGAGCTGCTGATGAGGTTTGGGAATTAAAAGTATAATTGTCCTTAACTGGTGTGTGAGCGTTTGACTCAACCAGAGTCATTAGTGGAGCAGAGACTGCTGCCATCACAGTGTGGTTGACAGTAACACACTGCAGCAGCTGTAATGGTTTCTCGATTGTCTCTTAAAAGTGCAGCACTGACCTTAAAGGAAGTCTCCTCTCTTCTTTTAGTTGTTCATCGCGAACAGCCTGACACTTAGCCATGAATGAGCTGACACCACCATGCTGTAATGTCCAGCTTGTCCTCATACGCCAACGGAGAAAGTATTATTAAGATGACAGCTGACTTCTTTGTGCCCTTTAATTAGACTGCTGCGGCCAGAGTGAAACACTTGATGCTAAAGCTGGCAATTATTCATTAAGTAGTTCCCTATTGGAGAGGGATTTTAATTAAGTACACATATTTTAGAAACCACTGAGTTAACTTGATTAACCCAGTAGATTTAAAGCAAGACAGAGACCAAAACCCAGCTTGCCAAAATACAGCAAACACAAAGTCATACAGGTGAAAGCTAAAACACAGCCAACGTGTAACAATGTATAAAAGGTCAAGGTTGTTGAGGCGGAGGAAGAGGGGCATAAAAAGTATTTCAAAAATTGCTGCACTTTTTCTAAAACCTACGTCAACATTAGCCAAGATAAAGCTAATCAAAATATGGACGAACCCAAAGAGTAAGAGTAAAGATACTGTATATAACGAGCCACTTTTGACACCTAGCCTGAGAAACATATTGGCATGAAATTACACGCTTTATTCCCTTATCTAATATAAATTTGGAGCCTAATGGTTTCACATTTGCCAAACTGAAAACTGGAACAGGTCAAAACAGCAACAGAGAGCAGGATGGGAAAAAAGGCGCGATAATTATGACAGTGTGACGTAAATGTTTTCCCACCTCAGCACCACGGGACTGACTCCTGATCCTGAGGGCCGGCGAGGGCTCGGCTGATCGCAAAGGAGTCACGCCTCCGTTCTTCAGCTGCTCCCCTGCAGAGGGCGACTTTGGTACAGTCCACACAGGAGCACCATCTACAGGAAGAAAAAAAACAAAAACAAAAAAACAGAGGAAGAATCAGAGTGGACTGTTAACTTTGGACTCACCCCAGTGATAAGGACGTTGGATATTGGCGCTTGATCATCATTTTTTGAATTTCCACAGAGATGATGGGGATGATTCACCAGACGCTGTGTGCTGTTATTAGACCTGATTCAATAATAAATACCATTGAACTGTGGCTGTGATTGAAGAAAGCAAAACAACAGGAAATTGTGTTTGTGTGCTTGAAAGCATTTGTTCAAATGTAATATTTGTTTTGTATAGAGATTCATTTTCTAGAACGGTACGAGTTATCTACACTCATTCATATGGGTTTCATTTAGTCTCCAGGCCTGGATGAAACAACAGCACAGTTTATAAAGATTTTAACTGATAAAACTTTAGTGTGTGGATCAATTAGGAGTTATTTAGTCTTTTTTGTGCCTTTCTGTACCTTTCATACACTGCATTGAACAATCAATAATTAGGAAAGTAATCATTTATTCCTGTATTATATATTGTATTTATTTTTACTTATTGATTTTTGAATTGTGTGTAATTGTGTCAGAGTGAAATAATTTGGCCTTTTTAAGATGTTCATTTTATGTTATTATTCATCTAAACCCAAATTGTCTCTGAATAACAATATACACTTTAATTTTTTACATTTGCACATTGAATATAAATTGTTTTATTGACTGAATTGAATTTCATCTTATAACGTAATCATAACTGTGTAGGGGTTAAAGAAACACTCTCTGGAGTGTGTGTAAACCACAGCTGTAGATCTCATTCCACAGCACTGTTAATGAAACTGTGCCGGAGGCTCTTCACCTCCTCACTCCCAATCCTCAAATCAGGTTAAAAGTCTAAAGCAGCAGGAACCTGTTCTTTAATTTCCATTAGTGAGAAGCAAACAGTGCAGGCACAAGTCAGTACCACTGCTGAGCCTGAGGCCGGAGTCCGACTCCACTCAAATGTGTTGAAACAGCCCTCAGGCTTCAGGTCTCTCCTCAGCCCAATGACACTTAAGACTAACAGAAACATGAAAAGAACTAGTGAACCTACTGCAATGCATCCTGGGAATTCTACAGAGGAGTGGCTCTGTGTAACAGAGCAGGAGGTTTGAGTGTCTTGTAAATATGTTGAAAATGAAGTGTTTGAGTCATTTCTCTGAGGGGTCACTGTGGAGATGAGTGTGTTCCTGGGAGGTTACTTCAACAGTGAGTTGGACTGAAAACCTGTGTGAAGGAGGAGGTGGGGGGTTAAGGGGGGCAGGTGTTACTGATGGTAATAATGACTGTGACAGATTTCATCAACTGAAGGTTTTCTCAAGAGATGTCACAAAGAACAGGAAGAAAAATCACAGAACAGGGCAGAGACAGGGTATCTGGACGATTGGACGAAGGACATGCAGGTCAAACTGTGAAAAGACTCATGCAGCTGTGGGTGTGTTTGTTTCCTTTCCCTTTCTGTGCTGTGACATCACTCACACCTTGGGTCATTTTATTTACTTTTTTTGGATTTTAGTTTTAACTCCTAACTCATTACTTCATGCCAAGTGTGCAAACCAAATGTCCTTTATGGACTTCAATTCCTCTAAAGGAAAACGTTGAAAGAGTTCAGGTTCTGCAAAGACAGTGACCTAAAGGAGAAAGGTAAGGGGTGAGGGGTGGGGGGGGGCTCCTAGAAAACTTGAGCAAGAAGCAAGGATTCTCAGTATCATCAGCTGATAATACACTGTCTGGTTAGTGACTGGTACTATTTTTCAATAGAATTGACCATAGACTACACAAAAAAGGACACTGACCACCTCTGTTACAGGTTTTGTTGACAGGGTGAGGAGGAAGTACTCTGCTGCATGCAGCGGTAACACACGGTAAAAACACAATAAAAATTTCTTCCTTGATTTACGTCAGTTTTAAACGATCCTGAATCGATCTCAGTCTACGGTTTGATTGGTTAAATATGATCACATGTTGGAGAGAGAAAAGAGAGAAAATTAAATGTGTGGGACATTGAATTTGACTGGACACCACCTGCATTGTAACAGCTACATTGTCCAACACCAATGTTATAACATGGGTCAACGTCATTGACAATATCATAGCATTGGTCACACATTTAGATCGGTCAAATTCCATATGTGATCATAAATTACCAAAGGGAGCTCAGAGTTTGGAGGAGAAGCCCCAGAACCTGAGCTTGAGACTGAAAGATCATCCTAAATTACATGATTGGATTTCATAAATCAAGAATGAACTTTTTTTTTTTAATATCTGCAAACAGCCAAGCACTTCACCAGCCTTGTCTTATTTTGTATACGTCTATGGACCTTACAGAGATCCCCTCACTGGTTTTGCAGTCACAGGACCAACAGCACCAGCCAAATTAAGTCCAACATCATGCTTGGTTCTTTGCCAATAATATTTTTTTTTCTGCCCATGCATTGAAGCTGTCAGAGAACCAGTCAATCAACAGACCAATGAACCAGCCAGCCACTTTCTTCATCAGCCGCAGCATGTCTACACCAACGGCGCTACCAGTTTGGTCTGCAACAAACCAAGGATTTAAATGTAAGAAAGTTTTCCTCACTGAGGCGTAGGGGGTACATTCCGTAAGCGAGGCACAGCTGGACCCCCACAGGTCTTATCAGCCAGGCAGCGGAAGGAAAGAAGTTTGTACTTGCGGCCCAGTGGTCCCACTCCACACCACCCCCTGTCCGATGGACAGGAACAGGGCAGGGTGATGGCTGGTGCAAAAAGAAGACCAACACACTATGAGGACCCGGAAGATTCTGGACACCAAATGAGACCCCACAGTAGAAATGCAGGACAGGAAAATGGCTCTGAAAAGTGTGTCACTTGGAATGGGTGGCTACATGTTTGGACTGACAGCATTTCTAATGGATTCCAATGGGTCAAAACCATCCACACTTCCTGATGCCCCTCCAGGTTTGAGCTGCAGTTACAACAGGTCAATCAGACAGAAATGCACAGAAATCAAGTCATCGCCAAATGTCTTTAAATGACTAATTTTTAAGTAAAAGAAATGTTTACTATTTTGTATTACAAACACGTAATAACCTAGCCTTAGCATAGCTAGCTTAAACTTTGCTTTTAAAAAGGGTATACCTCGGGTTGAAAAGGCCTAAAAAAAAAAAAAACAATACTACGTTTTTACATTAATAACTTGTACTTGTACCTGTGGTGGTGGTACTCACCCGATGACTGGTCTTTGGCTAACGTGCTGTGACCCCTCACTAACTTCAGCTCACTGCTTCAGTAAACTCTATGTAAGAAACGTGGAGAAAAACTGAAATTATAATTGTCAACAACATCACACATCATCCTTTAGCTCATGGAACACCATCAGATCTGCTACAAATCCAAACGTGCTGCATCTGTTGTCACGACTTAAACAAGTTCTGGACTTTCAGAGCCAATTTCAAAACCCACATGTGGTAAAACAGGTTCGGCGCTATTTCAATTACGCTCATAAAAGCTATTTTTTCAAACTGGGATAGAAGCCAACATGACTAATCCTTATCCTCAGTGCTACGCCAATAGAACCACCCTCAGTCTTTAAATGGTTTAGATTGAAACATCTTTATTGGATCCATCCAAGGAAATCTGGCACAGAGAGGGTAAAACATGGCAGAGAAGTCTGACATTTTGAGGCACAAGTGTGGATTCCTTTGGCAAAGAGTAAAAAAGAATTTTGAAGTGCATCGAATTAGTCTTAATATTAACACATTCACACCAAATAGCCCTGTTTTTTTTGTTTGTTTTTTTTCCAACATGCATTTTTTGACACCCTGAAATGTAACAAAGGAGTTCATGCTCACACACACTTCACCTCACACTCATGCTCCTACAGCTGTGGACACATGAGAAGACAGCAATGAATGGAAGACAACATTAACAACTACAAACCACTGAATGACAAAAAATGTGAATGGAACAAGGTTAAAAGACATGAAATGTAACATCTAACAACATTTACTACAAACACTGAAGTTCATGGTACCCGTCAGACAGGGGCAAAGGTCACAGTCCAGTTGCCCCAGCTGGCTCTTACCAGGGGGGCTTGGATCTGAAGGAGGCAACCCAAAAAACATTTGGGGAGTTTGGGGAGATGAAGGAGTTGGGGGCTCTAGTAGCAGCACTGGAACAGGGCCTGGGGCAGACTCACCGGAGGGGGCTCCAGGGGCTGTGTGGTTGCGTTGGCAGGCCTGAGACTGAGGTGGTGGTGCCTGGCTGTGGTTCTGGGTCTGTTGGAGGATGTTCAGGCACTCGCCCAGGCAGCTGAGCGTGGCAGCAGACGTGGCTTTGAGCAGGAGGAGGTCCTGGTCCAGACAGGAGACGGGGCCTTTGGTGGGTAAAGAGTCTATGGACTGGACCAGGTTTCTTTGTTGGCCCTCGGCCTGGGACATAACCTGAGGTTCAACAGTAATGTATTACCAACGTTAAAGTAAGAGCTGTCAATCATTAAAATATTTCATCTGATGAATCACAGGGCAGCTGTGGATACAAAGGGGAGGAATCGTGATTAATCATGGTCATAAATAATCACAATTAATCGTGGAAAAATCGAGATAAATCAACATTCCTTAACATGACAAAAACACACAACATTTGTAAGTTATTTTCAAAAAAACTTCAATCATATAAGCACATCTATACTATACTAACTTCAATCATATAAGCACATCTATACTATGAATTCACCATTTGAGTTGCATACGTTTCTGCTACAAAAGCCTAGCATGACATTAAACATTCAGATTTTAAATCACATGCAAATCTGCAAGCCGTGATAAACTACTACTGCGCAGTACACAAGTACTTTCAGATGGATACAAATACTCCGTCAGCTCTGTGGCTTTACTCCAACCTTGGATCCTTATCACATTCTTGGTTCCCGTGGTTCCACTACACCTCTTTCCTCCATATGTTGGATTTCTTCCTCTGCAGAGTCTCCGCCTCCCACAGGCCTCCAACCACAACCCACCAAATTAAAACCCACTGGTCTACAGTGTTTTGGAAGTTTAACAACATCACATTATTTCTGGTGGCATCACTTCACTCCTGACTGTGGATAACAACTGATACACAACAACCATCTGCTACAGTACCGAAAAGGAAACTGCTGGAAATGCTTAGTCTCGGAATTATTCATGTGTGGTTCGCTTACTGGAGTCTAAATGTATCACAAAAGGAAGGGGAGAAAGTCGGTTCTCGCTCTCAGGTAATAAGCATCTCCCAGGGCTAATGAATCTGGGTTGTTCAGCAGCGTGGAACTGTTGCAGTCATTAATATTGTATGCCTCACAAAAGCACATCCTCCACATCTGTCTCCCTGCATCAGTTAACACAGCTATTTTGGAGTCACAGTGCATTTGGAGTGAGATGATGTGTCACACACGTTCACGTGAAGGTTTGTCTTTCAGTGAAACAGCACACACTTTGTCCAATTACTCTGTCCCCGCCTCCTCCTCCAACAGTGGAATCCTGGAGCGGCTGGATCTCAAACCCAGCTTTCTGTCTGAGACTATTTTCATTCAACATGAAGAACACTTCACTGCAGAGTCCCACAAACTTTTCATACGTAGGCCAACTTTTTAAAAGCAACAAATATTATTCACCCAGTTCACCCAACCTCACTTTACTTTGACATTGTCACGATGACTGGAAAAATCTAAATCTAAATCTGTTGAAGTGTGAAAATCTTAACATTGCCAAGTAAATAAAATCCAGAATCGGTTTGGAGAAAAATCTATAAACAAAATTGTTTCCCTTATTCAGACAAAAACGTAAGTTACGGAAAACATCAAGCTTGGGGAAAGATTTTTCAAAAGTCAGAAACAGACACAGCCACAATGCAACTAAAATTAAAATCCAATCCCAACATTTCTAAACTTAGTTAGCTATAAAACCAACCATTTGAACCGACATGTTTCGTTTTTTAACGACACATAAAAAATAAAGCCCCTCTCGTCAGAATCAGAATCCAAACCACCTCACGGCCAAATACTCAGCAGAGGAGCCTGAAGCAGGTGAGAACACATGTTGTTGAGCAAATGTGTTGCTATGCAACAGTAAAAAGAAGAAAAGAGAAACATTACCCTGGTCAAAAATAACACATCTCATTGACTTTAATGACACTGAGTCGGTAACAGACGCATTTATTCAAATGGGAGAAAATTATGACAATTTTCTACAAACGTCTGCAGAGGAGGAAATTATCTGGCTCATGCAAACAGAAACAAACATCTTTTAGAAAAAAAAAAAAAATCAGGGTCATATGAGGCTAGGAGAACCAGCTAAATAAAAACCTAATTCCTCAGAACACCTGACAGAATAAGAGCACAGAAACTGTTTACAGTACACTGAGAAAATCCACCGACCTCCTAGGAATTTTCCAGGTCATTCAAATCAGGTATACTGTAGCAGCTAGTTGTGTTAGCTATCAGCTACATATTTAGCCATTTAACATTAGAATTGTTTTGCGATAATGTTAAACCATTTAGCCATTTAACATTAGAATTGTTTGGCGATAATGTTACTGTTAACTTTTATTTGTTTATGTATGGTTTTATTTATTTTATATTGAATTGTTTTGGTTACTGCAGCACATTTATATGTGCTATAGATTTGTCAAACGTGTAGCTATTTTTGGGCAATTTTTCTTTTGGCTAATTTTCAAGCCAACTTCGTGGCTAATTTGAGTTACAAATCTAAATCTTATTTTTATGTACTGTATTAGATGTGATTTTGTTATTTCTGCTGTGCTTTCAGCAACAAAGATGTATACATCTGGGCTGATTTTCTTGTCAGTACTTTTTGACTTTTTTGTTATTTTATATTATAAGATAACACAAAATCATATTTAGAATAATTTCGTCTAATTTCTGGCCTGATTTGTACTATTTTTTTGTCAAGATTTTCCATTTTATTTTCGGATATCATTTCATAGATATGGTTTACTAATTTCTACTCTGATTTAGACACAAATTTAATGTTTTCAATCAATTAATTTGCAACATATTGAGTCGGTTTAAGGACTACTGGGGTCCTGGATTCACGTTGGTCTGGTAAAACCACTTTATGGATCTCTTATGTCACTCTGTTCAACACAGCCATACTTAACAAAGGGATATAAATTTACTGCAGATCTGTGCCATAGAGCTCGGCAAGTCAGAGGGCAGGCACACACATACACAAAGACACACTTTGGAGCCAACAGAATCACTGCTGTTTCCAGAAATAGCCTAACCCCCAGTGATCCAGCCTCACTGTAGCAGTGCGTGTGTCCAGGACTCCAGGCGTTTGATGAGTTCACATCAACCACCTCTGACAAGTCGACCGAGGAATCACAGTGCTGTAGGTCTGACTCACACTGTCACATATTCAGTGGTCTGACAGATGCACGCAAGAGCGCACATGGATACAGGATGATAGAATGACAATGACCTGAACATGAAACAATCAGCAACACCAGACGGCACCAACACTCTGCATCTTCACAGAGGTACCAGCCTTGAAATTGTCATTTCCATCACAGCGGGGATGTTTATCCTCACACCGTATTCCATTCAACTGGATACATTACAGCAGCGGGAAAGTCGAGATGCTGCATATGTATTATGGTAAAAGACCTGAACTTTCATGTTTCGGGTCAACACATCTTATGTGTTTTTTAGTTTTTGTTCATTTAGGGAGTACTTGACTTTTTTTTGTTTCGTGGGTTTCATTTTTTTCTAAATGTAAATGCCGTGACTACGACACTCAGTTTTTGTTTCGTGGGTTTCATTTTTTTCAAAATGTAAATGCAGTCACAACACTCAGTTTTTTTTTTAGTTAAGTCTCTAGGAGCAAGAAGATTTTTACTGCTTACATTAGAGCTGAGAAACCTCAGCTGTGACATTAGGCTGTGGACAGTACTGACAGAACTACATGTACAGCCTTTTATTATGGTATGGAATTTACCAGAAGTGTCTGTAGGAATTTTGTCAGTGATAATATATTTGTAGTGTAGTTTTAAAAAATGGCTGCTTACATTAGAGCTGAGAAACCTCAGCTCTAATGTTCAGCTTTCATATGAAGACACGAGGTAAACTGGCACAGTAGTTTTTCATATGAAGACACTTAATGTTGTGTAGCATTTGACATGATATTTTGAGCACATAAGAAGTTAATTATACGTAATAATTATGCATAGGGTCTTGAAATCTGCCTCAACTATACACTTTAAAACAGTGGGGCTGCTTTTACAAACTATTGACCAGTTCTAACAATGTTGGACCAATTCCTTTTTTCCCTTAATCCATTACTTTGAACAAGACAATATTTTTTCGTAAAAACCTTTGACTTATCCTTCAAACCTTGGGTCTTATCTGATCCTTTAAAGCTCTTGTTTAGTGCCTTTCTACCAAATACCATGGACCCAGAGCCAGGTGAGCAGTTCATTCTCTCATGTTAATGGAAAAACGAGTTCATGCAGCTGCTCCCGCAAATCTCTCTGAGCCTCCTGCCTGGTGTCAGGATGGTTCGGTGATGACTGATCCGTTAGAGATCAACGAGGGCAAAGCCAAACTGGAGGTTAGATCATGCGGATACATCGAGAAAAAAAGAAAACTCTCTCACCCTCTATCACTATTTGAACTGGAGCCAAACTTTCCATCTTCCTAAAAGGAGGGGAGCAGGGTCTGGAGGCAGTAATGTTCATGAATGCTATGGGTGATAGTGACCAGAAGACAAATAGGAGGTACAACATCACCAAGGCCACTGTCTGACCATAAATCCTCAGATAATCAGTCCAGCAGCAGCAGCTCTCTACTGTGTGAGGCGGAACATAAATCACAGTGTGAGCCGACTCCCCTCACTGTGGACTTTAGCGTCTCACTGCCCTTTGCCAAAGCTGTCAAGATGAGTTCATGGGCCTTTATCGATACAAGGGGAGATCAACAAATGGCCAGAGGAATGGGGTACAACAGGAGGAGGAGGAGGAGACGACAACAAGAAGAGGTTTAAATCACGATCAAGAATGAGGTCTCAGGAAACTAACCACCAGGGAGAATGAATCACACGTCACAGAGGGGCCCTTGTTTTCAAAGTCTGCAGAGAAAATACAAACACCAGAGGAGACTTCTCTGTTTTTGGTTGATGATCACACCATCTGCTCCAACGTCCCAGGGTTCGTCTGAGGAGACAAGACGCTGCGTCACAAGAGGCAACAAATCAGCCTCTGCTTCATTGATGCCTTTTTTTTTCCTCCACAAAGACAAATATTTAAGTAAAAATTCTCTGAGCAGAACCAGGTGAAACACAGGTTCAAAAAGAGGAAGGAGACCAAGTCCTCGAGGAGCAGAGGAGCATGGGAATATGAATGCTGAAACACAAGTGCCATCGAGGAGGAGAAAAGTGGATGCACAGGATGAACTGTAGACGTGAACGCCATTTTATATATATATATTGTTATTGTTTTATATATATATATAGTTTTGTTAATGGCTTGGCTGGCTACCAAACTGTGCTCTCGAATCCCACAGTGCAGTTTCAATTACACGCTGCCTTGGGTATAAGGGATGCCGTATGTGTTTTTTATCCTGCGGGGGTTTTAGACACAACAAAAAGCTGCTTTGTCCTAATTTGACACACGTCACAACCTCGTCACAACAAAGAGCAGTCTTTGTTAGCATGGCACAAGGATCAGATACAGACACAGATATGAGATTATCCTCTTACAACTTAGGCTCAGCTACAATGTCAAACTGTGGGTTAATAAAACTGATTATATATAAAAAAAAATTGATTTGATTTAGTTAAAATGTGTTTTCTTCAATAGAGACAACTTCAGTTTCTGTTGAGTTTGTCTCATGCCAAAAACATGACTGCACACGCACTTGTCGACGTAAGACACAGCACCACCTAAAGCCAACTTCACACTGATTAAAAAAACAAAAAAAAAAAACGGTTGTTAAATGTAAAAATACCTGCCAGCAATAGTCTGAAAATAGACAGAGCTCAGTGCAGTAACTCTCAAAAGATTTCAGCCTCAGGACTCTGACTGAAGACCTGAATTCAGTCCAGCTGCTAATTAAGGAACCCACCAAAATGGTACTTGAATGACCTCCTCAGTCAGACTTCTTATATAAGTCTTATTATTTCAGTAGGTTGGCTGCTCCTGTGACTTACACTGAAAAATGACATATCAAAAAACACACACAAAAAAATATATATATGTGTATATATATATGGTCAGAAGTGGACACTGTCTACACTCATGACAACAGGAAACTTCTACTGCACCTCTGAAAATTTACACTACTGACCCACACTGGAGCAAAATGGAACTGATGCTGATGGTGAGGCGTGAGAAATAAACACTGCGACTGATATATGTTGTTTTGTGCCTTTTCTGACAGATGCACATATAAATGTAGAGGTTGAGAACAGCACAGTAACCACAAGTGACAGGTTCATCAGGCAGAGCGATGAAGACACCAACTTCAAACTCTGAACAACACACTTGTCATTTCAGGGCATTTACATTAATTAACTCTGACTGATGATTGTAAGTCTGATTGTTTTAACACTCGTGTTCATTTACATTCATTTAGGGATTCAATCTTATATTTTAATCCAAAATGTTTATATGTTACAGCTTGTTCTCACTCTCCTGACTTTCTGGGTTTATCTCGTTTGAGCACACTGACACTTTTACATCTCATAAGCAGATTACACACACACACACACACACACACACACACACACCTCTCCACTATACAGTCAACGCCACAGTTTTCACAGCGTAGGCTGCACCAGGCTCTCCTCACTGTCACCAACCGTGTTGAAAAGAATTGATAAAGTGTATTCCATAAAAATGCCAACAAAGCTGAAAGTACAATAAAGACTGAGCTGACTGCAGTTAAGTGTCAGACCTGCCAGCGGGCCAGAAATATCTGCTGAACTCACTGCACCACCGTCTCACCTGGGAGCGGAGCAAAGGCCACGAAAAACGCAGCACAGCACAGTCAGAGAGGACAAAGTGTCAGGGTGGACTTTAACCACAGGTGGAAAAAGAAACAGAAAACAAACACGATTCTAATGGAAACATTCACAATAAATACAGTCTCAGTTTTTATCTGTTTAAAAATATTACTAAAAATATACGTATATGTTTTAAGCCAAACTTTAATCTGTTTAATTTTTCTAGCTAAAACCATCTAATTACAGATGTCCAATAATATCGGCAGACCAATATTATTGGTCCAATATTAGCATATTATGTAACATCTGTAAGAATCGTTATGGGTTTTTCCTCCAATAATAATAAACCTGATAAAGCAATGTCTGGTGTCCACCAAATGATCCTGTGCCCTTTAAATAGTTTTGGGGATAAATGGCTGTATATTAAAGTGAAGGTCACTAGATGGCAGCATCGCAGCTCATTTATTTAATCTTATAGTTGTATAGTGGTTTGTACAGATAAATAAATAAATAATACCAGACCCATATGGGTTGATATCGGAATCGGAAATTAATTGTTTGGACAATATCGGCATATCGGATATCGGCAAAAAGTTCATATCGTACATCCCTACATCTAACGTTAACTAAGAGTACACAGTGAAGGAGCCATCTTATTACCAATGACTGTGTCAATGACAGCCGTGGCCCTCTGCCAATATCGGAGCTGCACCCTTTGAATTAGGGATCACAGACACAGAGACCAAACACTGTCATTATCAGCAGTAACAGGAACTTCCTCTGCTGTTTTCATGACGTTTTTCCACTGAAACGCTGGCTGCAATAAGGACAGGAAACTGCTGTGTGCTGCTACAGTAACAGACAGTGTTGACATTTCAGACCACAGCTAATGTCTGTCAAAGATCTCAGTGACAAACACACAATGTCTAACTAAAAAAAACAAAACAAAACAATGAAAATAAGAGCCTGTGACAGTGTGTATAAAAAATGTCTGTCAAAGATCTCAGTGACAAATACACAGATGTCTAACTAAAAATAAATAAATAAAATATAAAAAATAAATAAAAGAGCCTGTGACAGTGTGTATAAACGTATTGAAACTCACTTCTTTGACCTCCAGCAGTCGACCTGGATACTGACTCTTGATCCGTCGAGCTGCAGCAGGTGATTTGTGGTGGGTGATGGTGACGATGGTGCTGGGTGACGCGGCGTGGCCTGGGGGTCTCTGGGGGGCGGGGGATGAAGATGGCGTCAGGTGAGGGAGCAGAGAGAAGCTGCGTGTCCGACCAGCCGACGAGTAACCCTGGGAAAAGGTGAGAGGAAGGAAAGTTTATAAGTATAAGTATAAGTAACATTATTGTTAAATGTTTTATTTTAGATTTAATTTAGTTTGAAAAAACTAAAAAAAAAGTTGAAAAAAGAATTATTTTGAATAATGCATTTTTGTCTTATATAGTCATATAGTCAAATTTTATGTATATAAAATACATATATATAAAGTTTGACTATATGACTATATGACACACATATGTAAATTCATATGTGTATGTACATATATGTGCGTATGTGTGTCTTTACTATTTTCAAGTTTTTATTCAATATTTTTTTTTCAGTAAAAGTGAATATTTATGACGTCAGTATTTTTTTTGGACAAAGGATTTTTCCGTCTCTCAGGTGACTCACTGAACTCAAATGTATATAAAGACTTTATGACTCAAACAGTAACTATGGACTGGGAGGATACTTGTTGTTTCAACCATGTGAATGTAACTGTGACAACACTCTGCAGTGATGTCACTGAACAGTGTTTGACAGATGTTTAATATTTAACCAACTCAGCAACAAACTGGGTTTAAAAGACACAGTTCACCACAATCTGGAGTCGTTCAGAGACACAGAGACAGGAATGATTTAAGTTGTGCTGACCACATATAAAGACGTTCTTCCTTTGAAGACAACTTAATCGTACTCATTGACTAAAAAGTCTATAACGTTCCGTAGGTCAAGACGTGGTTTCTGACCTTTCTTCAGCCTAATTGTTAACAGTGGAACCTTTGTTATCAATGTTGATTTGTTCTCCTGTAGATTGGTTCAAAATGTCTTTGATTCGAACGAGACGCGCTCAGGAAATCCTTGCTGCATGAAAGTGAACAATGCAATAATGAAATCATTGCAGACGGCAGCACATTGGCATTTACATCAATTTACATTGATGAATGCAAATGAGTTGAATGAGAAACATTAGTGCTCTGCCTTTGATTCTCTGAATCACAGACTGATCTCCTGCAGGTCAGGATCATAAAAAAAAAAACATTGTCTTCTTGTTTTGTTTTGTCCCTGCGCCACAGCAAAAGTCACATCCGATCCTTCACCTGGTCTCCTCTGTGCCTCCTGACTCTTCACTTCTCTGACCTGTGAGCGCACACAGGCCCAACTGTCACAGCACTGTCTTTGTCCTCTGTCCTTATTCTCTCCACTGGACACAGCAGCACAGTCAGAACAGACAGACCAGACACCAGAGATCTGGCCGTCTCAGAGCAAAGATCTGCTCAGTGCAGCCATGAGCAGAAAATGGGTCAAATAAACAAGTGTCCACTGGGGCGTGCACTCACACACACTCAGCGCTCAGGCTCATGGGTTTTATAAATAATAATAAAATGGCATAATAAAACTAAATGCAACTTACTTAGCGATCGAAATAAATGCAAAACGACCAAACAGGAAGCTAAAAGAAAGCAGCCTTAGCTTAGCATTAGCTAAAATCTACACAGCTGCACAAATAAATAAAATATAGGGCATTGATAACATTGGACAAACGGTTGAGGCGTTGAAGTTGAATTTTAAAAAAATAATAATTTTGATGAATCTAATCAGTGAATGGTTATGGACTGTAGGTACTTTCTATTTTTATTCTATTATTCTATTATTCCGACCTACAATTATCAGCTTACACAGCAGAACACTGGGGTCTAGGTCTAGGTTTAGCTGCAGACGTGAGTCAAGCAGAAAAGGAGCCGTGCTCTGGGAGTCTAATCAGAGAGCCATAGTGATGTTTTGAGGTTTTGTCCTCTAAAACTGGCACAGAGCCTCCAGCGAGTCGATAAAGTGGAGCAGGGAGGGAAAGAAATTGGCAAAGAAAAATTTAGAGGAAAAAAATGCAGCCACCGGTGGAGGAAGAAGGAAAAGTGTATTGCAGGTGATGAGTGAGCCACACACAGAATATGAGAGGAGTGAAGGAAGTAATGCAGTGAAGCAGAGGTCTATCACCAGGACTCACACAGCAGGGATGACGGCTCTGTCGAAATTCAAACCTCTTAGAATAAATCGCTCT